ATATAACTGAAATAAACTATCGCAAGTATTACAAGCAGCAAATCCAAGATGGTCGATAGGAAACAGCTACTACTTTCTCACTTTTGCCAAGTAGACACATTGAAAGCAAATAAAAGAAGCACTAAACTAGATTCATGCAATATGTATCCCCAACTACAAACGATCGAAAGAGGAATTTTACTGATGTGATTGCCAGATTTCCGTACATTTCGTAAAATAAAAAAAAATTTTAAAAAAATTGAGGAAGAGAAAATGGATGCGCGAGAAGACGAGAAACTAATAATTTATCCTATTTGGCCTTAATTAAGCAAATACATTGAATTGTATTTGCCATTGAATAGCTCAACAATCACAATACGTCACAACGTATACTTCTGATGATGACATAATTAATTTCAAAATATTGATTCCCGACAGGATGGCGTGCATTTCGATGCTTGGAGTATGTATTATGCTATCTTCACAGCTTATACTTACGCGTAAACAAGACCGGCGGGTGCCAAGAAGCATGCTATAAGAAAAAGGGTTTTTTACTTGATTATTAACTTGTATTGTGGGGATGGGAGGCAATCATAATTATCATCATCACTTATCACCATCCTCCTCATCATTGTCGTAATTATATTCCTAGTTATGATTATTATTATTATTATTATTATTATTAATTTTTGCAATTTTATTATTTACAATCTTATTATAAAAAAAATATCATTAAGATGAAACGAATATACTTGCTTGCCCATCTGTTATTGCCCTTCAGACTTTGGGGGCCAGAATATATGTGGGATGGCCTACATATTTCACCCAAGCACTTTGCAATTTACGAAACGTTAGCGACAGAATTATGCAAGTCCGACATCCCAAGGATTTGTTATTTCACATATTGCTCGGGTATTATATGCCAGTTATTTTTTATCCATTAAACTTATTGATGTGGTCACGGTACGATGTACAATACTTAAATATCCCTAGTAGAAGCGTGCAGGGTAGCGTGTGTACAATCGGAAGGTCGGGGATTCGAGACCATTGCTCGCACACTGTTTGTGTCCTTGGGCAAAACACTTTATCTGCATTTGTCTCTCTTTACCCAGGAATATAAGTACCTGGTAGGAGGTGAATGATTCGAATGAAATTAGTAGTGCTGATTACACGCATTGTTACTCCCCAGGGAGCAGAGGACGTTGCACGTTGTGTGTGATTGATTCTGTATCCATTGACAAGGGAAAAAAGTGCCTTGAGCAACTTATGTGCGCTATATAAATCCTATACTGTACAATAAATAAATAAATACCTCATTCTCACCTATAGCATCATTGATATTCGGCATACTATTGCTATCGCCCCAGAACATTGCAATGAGTGGTGAGCGTATGAAGAGGATCAATGGGCAGAAAGCCAGTGACATGATGGCCGGTAGAGCAATGAGCACAAGAGCGAGTGGCTGGTTGTAGTGTCTCCGCAAACCATCCATAGCATCGTAATCAGAAGCAGATAGAACTAATGAAAAAAAAGTAAAGAATGTTTTTTACGTATTATTTCGTTTTTGATGATGTCATGTTCTGCTACTCTATCTACTATTGATATTTATATCGTCATACACTTTTTTTTTTTTTTATAAGAACACATTTTATAAGAGCACTGAGTCTGAAATGTTTGAATGCTTACAAATTCAGAACAAAATAAGAACAAATTGAGGCGGCGGTAAAACGTCAAATGAGGTTTTTTACAGTAGGTGTCCCTGTCATTTGGGGTCATTTTTACCGGGCCTTTTTTCTGGGGCTACTTTTTTAGTGCCTTTTTTATGGGGGAATTTCTTTCAGGGCCATCTACATTCCAGTACAGTAAGTATACTGCTCGACAACAATAATTTCTATGTTTGAAAAATGTGTAAAGTAAGAACAAAATATATTTTGAGCCTGAAATCGGCTAAAAATAAGAACACTGAGCCTGAGCAAAATTTTACTGGTTCTTCTGAAAAAAAAGTGTAGGCCAACTTGTGTCTATACAACAATAATATACTGTAATTGACATATTTGCCAGTCACCATTGTATCGTTTTGTTTGTGCAGCTGTGATGCACTGATGCTTTGTTTATTTAATTATCTGAACGATTGAAATGTTAATTGATCGATTGTAATGTCCCTTGATTGACTGATTGATTGAATTATTGGTTTATTTATTGATCAATCGATTTAATTGATAACTTAATAATTTAATTATTGTAATCACATTAAATGCGTTAATAGTTATTAACTGAAATGTCGAATAAATTGATTGATTGATTGATTGGTTGGTTGATTTATTGATCAATCAATCGATTAATTGATTAAACTAATAACTTATTAATTAAAACATTATCATATTTTGGGCTTTAATTGTTTATTGAGTGAACTGTTGATTGATTGGTTAGTAGGTTTGTAGACAGATTGATTTATACATCGATTGGTCGATTTATTGACCGATTAAATTGTTGGTTTGTTATTAGTTGATTGATTGGTCGAGATGATAGATTAATCGATTGATTGATTGATATATTGACTGATTGATTGACTGATTGATTGATCGATCGCTATCATCTTAAAGACGTAGTTGTCCATTCCAAATGTCGTTAAATTGTACTAATCACCACATCCATCAATGCTTTGACTTACAGCCTAAACGTCTTATGTTATCCACAAATAAGTTATTTCCTACGTTCAGATTCTTCTCTTCTCGCTGTCGCTCTTTTCGCAATTTATATTGACTGATCTTAGCCCCAACCATCAAGAACAGCAGAGCTGATAACAAAAGAAAAACATTACTGAATAATAATGGTAATGATAATACAGCATATGTACCGGCCTTACGTATTCCGCTTTTAATAAACCCCCTCGATTAACCGCCCCCCCCCCCCTCTAGAACCTTATTTGGAACAAACGCATCCCTCGAATAAAGGCCCGGATACGTTGATTTCCTCAAATTAACACCCCCTAAATGACTGTAAACACATCTAATGGAAGCAACATCATTTTCTACACATTCTATTAATGTTCTACTCCAGTAGAATTACGTCATTCCTAACTTGGTTTGGATCAATAAGTCTCCAATGATCACGCAACAACACATTTTGACGGAAATTACGTGTTGCAGTTCCACATTTACGATGAAATTAAGGGGCGTTTATTTGAGTATATACGTATCCATTTTACAATATAAATAAATAAATAAACGCTTCATTCGAATGAACGCCACCCAAAAACCTTTCTCAACAATAAACGCACAGAAGCGTTTATTAGAATAAAGACGGTATATAAACAATAAAAATAATGATGATAATAATAATAATAATAATAATAATATTAATGATAATAATAATGATATTAATAGCAATGATAATACTATTAATAGTGATGATGATGATGATGATGATGATGATGATGATGATGATCATACGGTATAATGATAATAAGAGTAAACAAAAATGCTACTGCTACGACAATAACATTAATAATAATAACAAAAATATAATATTTTTTAGATGATTAATTTAACCGTGTTTGATAGGCAAGGTAGGCCTAATCTACATTTTCGTGATATGGTAGGCCTAAATAAAAACTACTAGTAATAATGTTAACATAACTATATAATAAAATAGGGCCTAACTAATAATAATAATAATAATAATAATAATTGTTATTATTATTATTATTATTATTGTTATTAATATTATTATTATTAATATAATAATAGTAATAATAATAATAATAATTATTATTATTATTATTACTATTATTATATTAAAAATAATAATAATAATAATAATTATTATTATTATTATTATTATTATTATTATATATTTATTTACTAATTATTATTATTATATATTTATTTACTAATTATTATTATTATTATTATTATTTATTATTATTATTAATATATAATTATAGTAATACTACTTACCACTTATTACGACAAATATCAAGCTCAGAGGTGGGATCAGTATTGCCGCCGGTGGAATATCTTCTGATTCTGGTTCGGCTTCGGTAAATGAATCAGAAAAATCCGTCTCTGCTTCGGCCTTTGGCTCTACAGCAGCCCCAGCCTCTGTGACACCTGATTCCGCTTCAGGCTCTACAAAAACAGTTACCTCTGACATTCTCGGTAAAGTAGGCCTATAAGTTGTATTTAGTACTCAACGATCTCAGCAATGTATCAAACAAAAGGCAGATTCGAATGATACGATCAGAAAACTTAAAACTGTTTTTGAAATGGCACTGCAATTATTATCAGCGATGTGAGTGACGTTCAACCAATTACTAATGCATTTCTAATTGTGGCTATTAAAATGAATCGAAGCACTTGTGATTTTCATTGGGAAGGCCATCACCACAAATTAATATACGAGATATCGATCTAAATTATAAATCGATACATTTTATGTTATGGAATTATAAGAACAATGGCAGAGGGCTGTGCCTAAAACCAATGTGATGTTTTGGAGGCTGAATAATGTCTAGGATGAAGCTATAACGGGCAATGTTTAAAATTAATTGAATATTAAACATAATAATTATTATAAATCATTTTATTTTATCAATGATCTTATTATTTATCGTGAGTTTATTATTTTTCGATTAGCATTTTCTAAGAATTATGCAGTTAACGATTGCTTTGTTCGTTATAATAAAAATAGGCCTAAACCACATATGGTTGCTTCTATGCACTGAACAAAAAGAAACATAACCATCAACATCGTCATCATCATCATTATTATTACTATTTAATATTATTATAAAATTGCATTTATTATTATTAGGCCTATTATTATTATTATTATTACTATTATTATCAATTTTACTATTATTATTGTTATTATTAATATTAAGATTATTATGGTTGTTGTTGTTCTTCTCTTATTATTATTCTTTTCTCCTTCTGCTTTTTGTTTAGAATCAGTTAATACATTTTTTCTGAGCCCGGTGTGCTCTCAATGCCGAGCGATAATCGGCGTCCAAGTTTACTCCTTTGATATATCGCCAGACCATGGCATCAACACCACATGGCGACGTTAGGCTCTTAAAAAACATAATTTGAATCAATTATAAAACACACCTGGTGGTCCAGTACTCTATGTACCGTATGAGTCGACTTCTTAATTTTCCAAAGTTAAAATATGCACAGTACAGAAGAGATTAGAGGATTATTAAAATGGAGGCCTACTTTAAAGTTCATGGTTTTAACGGTCAGCGTATCTGGATTTAATATACAGTACAGTACTCCGAAACAGAGCTGTATTGACTTGACCCCTATTTGACATTTTCCAAACCTACCGGAAGTGAATCAAATTTGAGTTTTGACGCCCGTTTTTACAATCTGATATCCAATGTCTGTCTCTTATACACATCTAGATGTGTATAAGAGACAGGCGATAATCGGCGTCCAAGTTTACTCCTTTGATATATCGCCAGACCATGGCATCAACACCACATGGCGACGTTAGGCTCTTAAAAAACATAATTTGAGTTCATGGTTTTAACCGTCAGCGTTAATGAGGTTAATGCTAATAATTGCGTCACAGCCATCTAAAATGAAGGATGCACAGTATGTTTAAATCTTAACAGCCAAATGGATTAATATGAGTTAAAAATGTCAGATAATTGATAAGCCTATATGACTTCCCGTCTCTGCATTCCACCGCCGATGCTCACAAATCAATGATATAAATTGGAAGAACGTGCATAAATTTATGCCAAATTATCAAAATTACCCAGCGCAAAACCGTTTTATTTATTGCGCATTATCAACTATATAATTGCACAATAATGACGCGATCAATCGCCAATACAGATAATAATGATCCTAGTGTTGTTGCACAGTGACAGTGGACATCATTTATATTTCTTTATCCTTTTTTTTTTCTCTTTTTTTTTCGGTGAATAATGTTCTTGCATATATAATATATAATAACATACAATATATATATGTATATATATATATGTATATATATGTATATATGTAATAATGTATAAATCAAATAGATAATAATACATATTATATTCCTATATTTGAGCACTGTATTATTATCTGTTTGATTACCGTTTGTGTGGATAGGTAGACAGATAAATATAAACAGGCGCCTATACATGTAGGCCTACTACGTCTTATCCGATTATGTTTTTTTTAATTGGCTCATTATCATCTTACTTATTTTTACATAAATCTAATACCAATAGTCTTGAAATTTATTTAAAATTCAATACTCCCTCCTACTATGCCTACATATATATAAAACCGTTTCTTGTTTATGTAAACTCTGTTATAGGTTTATTGTAGGCCATAAGAAACACTATAATTGTCATCTGAAATGCATTCCTCTCATTTTACAGTCGGGGTAAAATAATTTAGCCTATATAAGCTTCAAGCGCTGAAGCCAATAACTGAGCCGGCTACTAATTAGGAGTTCAGATGTCTTACAATGTCATGGAACCAGGATGCAAACACTGTAGAGTCCATTTGATTAATCTGCTCGTCCAGGTGTTTGCATAAAATTAAATTAAAGTGTTGGTCTATGGATAATCCTGTTCCATGAGAGTCAGCAATATCAAGCATCCCAGGTCTCGATAGGCTTGTGTGAACGTCATTCATCAGACGGTATATCATCGGCGAAAAAATGCTCAGAAAATCTGCATTTTCGGGGAGAAAAATCATTGAAATTTTATTTCTCATATGTGAATCATAACTAAGCTTGTTCCTCGACCATCTGTCAAATATGAAGAAGTTTTCGTCAAGAACATTTAGCTTAGAAGCAACCGCTGCTAGAAATTCTTTTAGAGAGTGGTCACTAAATTTTCCTAGCTGAATCTTATGATGTAGATGGCCCTGGCGTGGTGTTGCGGCAATTACCACGTGTATCTGAGGGTAGACGACTTTCTGTTGACTATTTTCTGATTCGATAGAAAACAACAATTCTGTAATATATATACAATGGCCGTTTAAACCTTGTCGTAAAAACCATTCACAGTAGTGAATTTTTTGTTCATTTGCGTCAATTGTACTTTGATCTTCTTGTTGACACCCGTGATATAGAAATACCTTCTCCCCGTGTCTAGTTTTAAGTCTTCTCTCTACATTTCCGCTATGTTCATGGGTCCCATCTAAATATCGCACTAGATTGTTGAACAAGAGTCCTTCACTGCTATCAACATTACCTTTCTTATCTTTCTTGCAGCCTGCTAACATCCATTTTTTTCGGAGTCTGTATCTGCGAACAATGCTACCTGCTGTTGATCTATTAATACCACATTCATCAGCAATAGTTACGTAGTGTTTGGAATTTTCTTCGAACGCTTTGATGAGTTTCTTTCGAATGTGAAGTGGTACTCGTGCTCGCCGACTCTGAACATTAGTGTTGTGTTGAGAGTGTGTTTCTTCATGCGACAACGTAAAGCTATCCATGGGCACATGTATTGCTTCATTTGATGTTTGTAGACTAGCATTTAGTTTCAAATTGTCGGATGTTCCAGCCGATTCCACATTGCAGGATGTTCCATTAGGCTCTATAGAATTTGGTGTTGCTGTATGTGCCACATAGTTTGATATTTCGGAAGGTTCAACATTGATGTATGAATGATCCACAATGTTGGAATTCTCAGTAGTTTCCATATTGCTAAATGTTTCAGTAGGTTCAAATGGATTCATATTATTGGGTTTTTCAAAATGTTTAACAGTGTTTAATGTTTCTGTATGTTCCAAATTGTTATATGTAGATTCAATATTGCTGGATGTTTCAGTAGATTCGATATTCTTGAATGCCACAAAAGGTTCCACATTGTTGAATGTTCCAGCAGATTTCAAATTGTTGGATGTTCCTGTTAGGTCATTGTTATATGTTCTAGTAGGTTCCAAATTGTTGGATGTTTCAGTAGGGTCAACATTGTTAAATGTTCCAGCAGGTTCTAAGTTGTTGGATGTTCCAGAAAGATCAACATTGTTCAGTGTTAAAGTAGGATCCAAATTGTTGGATGTTCCAGTAGGCTTGTTCAATGCTTTAGCATGTTCCGAATAGTTGGATGTTCCAGTAGGGTCCACATTAATTAATGTTCCAGTAGATTCAGAATTGTTGAACGTTCCAGCATGGTCAACATAGTTCAATGCTCCAGTCGATTCCAAATTGTTGTATGTTCCAGTATGGTCAACACTATTCAGTGTTCCAGTAGGTTCTAAATTGTTGGATGTTTCTGTAGTGTCAACAGTGTTGAACGTTCCAGTAGGTTCCAAATTGTTGGATGTTACTGTAGGGTTCACATTGTTGCACTTTCCAATAGGTTCTACATTGTTCCATATTCCAGTAGGTGCCACATTTATATCACTTCTGGGCTTCGTTAGATCAAGAGGTGAATTTATAGCACTGGTTAGTTCCGATAACGGTGTCGTGGTGGACTTTCTTTGAAGTGCTGTCTGAGCATGTAACTCATCCGGTGCTGTAAAACTGCATGGTAACTTGGTTCGTGTGTCTTTATCTGGTATTCCATATGTTGAACTATCAATCATGATATTTTTTCTGTCATCATTATGTAACGAATGCCCGATTTTATCCAAATGATGGCTTACATTTTCGTTTTTTAATTCATAACAGGTACACATATGAATCTCAGCTTCGTTGACTTCAATGATCGTCTTAAAGCTAAGGTCCAAAGGATCCATGTTTATCATGAAGCCTAAACGCAATTGAATGATTGCATGCTGTAACACAACCAGGCGAGATTGAAAAGATTTCGAAAGTTCTTAGAATTTCTTTGGTAATTGTATGAAGTTATTGACCGTATCTTATTATATTGTTCTTGTGAAGGTTGTTCTGGATACAATAAGTAAAATCCCCAACAATTTACCAATTTTTAAGCTTCAATACTTTTATGTCCACAAAGTATCAAAAAAGCCTTGGCATAACAAGTACAACAGTAAATATACGATTATAATAGGCCTATAACATTATTTAAATTCAAAGTATCGTGTTACAACGGTGTTGATCTGGATCTGGATTTAATATACAGTACAGTACTCCGAAACAGAGCTGTATTGACTTGACCCCTATTTGACATTTTCCAAACCTACCGGAAGTGAATCAAATTTGAGTTTTGACGCCCGTTTTTACAATCTGATATCCAATGTTGTGTGGTAATTTGTTCCAAATTGGCATCCACGGGAAGAATCTATATTGGCATAAATCGATGTTTTAACTGGTGTTGCATGTAAGAATTTGTGTTATCTCCTTGAGTATAAGACTGCAAGATTAACTTTATTTGAAAAATTATTTTAAATTTCTTTCTAATCTTCATTTTTTCTGCGTTTATGCCTATACTGATTTTATAATATTGTATTTATTTTTCATTTTCTCTTTTGTAACACGATATTATTTTCTAAAACCATTTATTTAAATTTTTTTCACATATGTAATTTACTCTACTTTTAGGTGAAACCATTGGTAAATTAATAATTTTTCAACTGATTAATTGGTAATTCCAGGGCCCTGAGTATCAAATGTGTAGGCCTAAAAAAACAACAAAGATATGCCATAGGTGTGCATTACTAAATCTACTGAAAATGGAATTAATGCATTAGAAACTTTAATTATAGTTTACGACCTTGGATGGGAAGAAAAGAACAATGGGTGTTGACGGCGATGAAAGAAATCATTGAAAAGAATGACCGGATGATTGGTTTTCAAGATGAGGGCCAGCCAAACTAAAGATTGTGAGAATTAGAATCAAAACAAGGCTCCATGCATACCGCTAGCATTCCTCCAAACTTATAAAATTTGAGTAAGCTATGTATCTAACATGGACATCGACTGTAACGTTAAATTCCACGCAGGAAAAAATAAAAAGAGTTCAAAGGGTAACAAACGGAGATGGTTTCGGCTGAACCTGTTCAGTTTATTTATTTATTTTTTATTTATTTGAACATACACCTTTGAATCGGTGGCACTCAATATCAATGGTGCGTTCGTACAAACATAAAATGTCATTACCTTGCTTGCCTTGACGGTCCGCAACTGGAACTAATAGCTCCATGATTCTTCTCCTCTGAACCAAATCCCACACCCATTGTACTTACTA